TGACTCTTGCAAAAAACGGGCGCCAAAGCATAAATAGCTTAAAAGTAATGGTGAATTAGGTATAGGCTCTTGAAAACTGTGTTCGGCCACCTTAAGTTGTTGAAAAAAAGTTACAATCACCGTTGTAGGCCGGGGGATAGGTGTGTGCAGCGATTGGTCTTAAACCCAGAACCTATTTAAGAGTGATGCAAATTGATATTCTATTTAAGGAAGCAACCCGAAAAATTACACCCTGTTCAAGGGAAAAACAAAAAATAAGAATGGTGTGAATGCAGTTGACCATTAAGCATAGCATTTTTTTTTCGTTTAGCTCGGCATTTGCACAATGGCATTTTAGCTCATACAATTTATCCTATTTAAGGATCACCCAGGGAACAAAATGCCAACAGGGACAAAAATGATACCGAGAACCTCAAAAACTATACCATATCCCTCTGCCCTCACCTATTTAGCCAATGTATTNCCCCCCCCGCCCCGAGCGTTGAAGTCTTCTCTTTAATCAGTTTTTAGCCATTTAAGTATTTTTAACGTGAAGCTCAAAATGAAACGATAGTAACAATAAGAACAATGGTCAAATGACAAGCTTTTAGCCAGTTGATAAAAAGTAGCGTGTTTGTATGGGTAATCAAATGGTCACAAGTGAAATTAGGAAATAATTTCACGTGCGTTCTGGCAAATTACGCTTATCATTATATATTGTAGTCACCATCTGTCTTCTCATTGGCTAAAAGCCCACAGTTAATTCTGGGAAACAGTGCAACCTGCAGATTATTCACTAATCTGCTAGCAGATCAGTGAACAATCCCTAAGTTGCACACGCAATTCCAAGACCACGGTCAAGTTCAAGGAAAGCGAAGTAAGAACATGGTTTGTCGAAAATCAACTGTGTTCGGTGCGATAATGCGTTTGTCGTTATTTTCTTTAAAACAATGTATAATAAAACAATAATTAGATTCGGTTTTTGTGATATCCGAAATAATCAAGGTCTCGGTTAGTGTTACCAGCCTCAGCCTTCGGCTTCGGCTGATAACACTTACCTCAACCTTGATTATTCCGGATATCACAGAAACCTTATCCAATAATTGTTTACAATCGTGGTTTTTGACTTGTTTATTGTATTGAAAAATTTCGCGTCAAACGTTGCCATGGGAATTGAGTAATTTCACATGTGAAATTATAAATTAATAATGGTAATAGGACTGAGTGGAGTCCAATTCGGTCTGTAATCATACGAGTGATAAACAAAATCGGACAACCGCGAAGCGGGAGTCCGATTTGTTAATCACGAATATGATTACAGACTGAATTGGACGACACGATGTCCTGTTACCAATTAATCCAAGCTATGACAAAATTCGAGAAACGAACAAACCATCGATTGAACGCTGAACGATTTTAAAACATCGTTATGAATGCTGAAAAACCCAGCAGTTTACTCAACAAAGTGCACCGCAACAGCGCGCGCAAAATGACGCGTACTGTCCAATTACAAGCATAAAGCGTACACTGTCCAATTAATGCTCAAATCGGGCTGCTGATAGCCAATCACGTTCGAGAACTTTGTTATAGTTTTGATTAACACTGAAATTTCGTGCCAATGTTAAGGAGTAACTTGTCACCCATGATATAAATGTATAATATTTCAGTTTATGGTCTTTTCTTAAGGCCCCCGAAACAGGTCAATATGTGTTCTACTTGACATGTCAAGACGAGTGTGAGCTGTGGTTGAGTACTAATGATGCACCTGACAACATTAAAAGAATTCTGTTTATTTCCTTTGGGCTGAATCTTAACTACAACGAGTGGGAGAGGTAGGTGTTGTTGCATCTCAATGGAGTTATGTAATCTAATGTAATCGCAGGTGTCAGATATGACATGAACCGATAACTGCAACTGTAACAAGGGCGGTAAAATGTGTAACCTGCAACAAGCGCGGGGAAATATTTAACCGTAACAAGCGCGGGAAAATATGTAACCTGCAACAAGCGCGGGGAAATATGTAACCTGCAACAAGCGCGGAGAAAATGTTTAACCTGCAACAAGCGCGGGGAAATACGTAACTGTAACAAGTGCGGGAAAATATGTAACTGTAAAGAGCGCGGGGAAATATGTAACCTGTAACAAGTGCGGGAAAATATGTAACTGTAACAAGCGCGGGAAAATATGTAACCTGCAACGAGCGCGGGAAAATATGTAACCTGTAACAAGCGCGGGGAAATATGTAACTGTAACAAGCGCAGGAAAAGGACGTGTGGAGAGGAGTAGCCGCTGACTAACGTCAAACGTATATCTTGCACTCTATTTAGCTTCAGGTGAATCAGTCTGGACGTAAATAACCACGGATAAAGACTGATTTTTTTTTTTTAAAGCAAAGGTGAATCTGTATATTGAGAGAAATACCCATGGGAACACTAACTTTTATGGTTACGTGCATGGCTTCATCAGCCGTCTGACATTTAAATAATCACTGAACAAATACATCTTTCGTGTCTATTGGAAAGTTGACCTTTTAATATATCTTTTTTCTTCAGAAGTCCCACTCAAAAATCATTACCGGTACACCTTTGCAGTGGGGAGTTCTACTTCATGCAAGCCATCATGAAAGCTGGCTCAAGCTCCCATGATCACCTTGGGGTTGGCGTGCTTCAACCGAGGGGAGAAAAATACCAGCCAATCCTGAATGGCGACTTGTTCTTTGAACTACCAGGTCTGACATCAGTATAACGCTATGTTCACACTTAGTTTCCAAGCACCGGGCCCGAGTACGATTTTCGCTTGGCAGTGATGTGAAACACACCCCTTTTCCAAGCAATCATACCAGAATTCGGGCACAAAGACCGTGCCGGGGTACGAGGTCTCGTCCCTGTACTCGGGCACTAAATGGTACTTGGGTGCTTGCAGTGCCAGTGTCTGGACATAACACTTTTTTTGTGCCGGTGCCCGGGCAACAGTGTTCGGGCACCAAGTGTGAGCACAGCCATAGTTTATAGTTCCTTTGCAGTAGTTAAAACATAGGAGAATTTTCCGCAATCTTAACGGATCATCTTTCCTGTGAGCCAGCTTTCTGGAGTTTGACAGCTGAACCTGCTTGATCACATACCCACAATTATACAAAAAAACATCTCTTCTGTTTCAAAATCGCTCTCTTGATTCCGTTTTCCTTCTTTGCCATCACTGTTTGGAGCATATTAAGCCCGGTTCAAATGCCGTACTTCACATGAGCCGAATCGAATGCTAATGAGGGATAACAAAGGATTTTTCTCATTTGAATTCGATTCGGCTCATGTGAAGTACAGCGTCTGAACTTGGCCTCAGACTAATAGAGGAAAAATAAACAATGAAAACAAGAAGCACAAGTTAATACGTCCTTTCCAGAAAAGAATGAAAAAGTCTTTCTTTTTTAAATCTAGTTCTGTGTGAATATTCAATAAACCTTATAATCTGTTAATCTGTTCATTCGCTTTTTATTTTCTTTCAGAGAGAAGAAGATCTTTGTTTCTTCTCGTGGGAAAGGACACAGCTTTAGTTGGTCACGTGATGTCGTCACTCACTGTTGGCAACATGGAATGTTCATTGTACTGTGCACGTGACAAAACCTGCCAATCATACAACTACTTCAAAGAACAAGGCATCTGTGAATTGAATAACGAAACAAGCGCAAACAACGCGAAAAGACTGGTACCCAGCATGGCTGTGGAGTACTACGAGAAAATATAACTGCAACTGTCCTTTCAGGAGTAAACAGCAACCAAAAACTGGCAAGCAAAAACTCCAATCACTAGCCCTTATATGGAAACAGATGATTACCAGCTGTGTACTCAGCTGTCTGGGGCGTATGTTCAGGGCCTGGTTGCTCAAAGCAAGACTCGCTTCCACTCCCCCACCGACCCAGGAAATAAGCAGAAGCCCATCAGCGGAGTTTCCCTAAGCCTCTCTATCAAAGCGAGGCCTGTAGTAGCTTGTTCCAGGCTCTCGGTCAGTGGGGACGATCGAAAAAGAGGGTGACGAGCGGAGTCTGGGAGAGAAAAGCCTGGTGCACAACCATTCATATGGAAATGAATTGAATTTGCACGTGAATGAAATCTCATTTTTGTATGAAAGGATGGGCACCAAGACTCGCTTTAAGGAAGAGGCTAAAGGTAATTCGGAAATGGCCTATTGTCCGGTAACTCAGCTGAGAGCAATTCTAAGCGCGCTTTTCGCTGCGTTAGCTGTAAGTTCAGAAGAGTTTGCAAAACAATTTCAACCGACTAACAAGGGAACAAAGTTTACAAACTTATAAGTTCATCTGCTTTTTTCGTCATCGAAAGCTTCAGGTTTCATGTAATCATATGTACAATCATAGGTCTGTAGTGAAATTAAAGGTGATATGAACTTTAAAGAAATTGTCTGTTTTACAGATGTTTATGATAGACAAGCTAGGAAAAGAATAAAGGATTTGAAAAAAAAAAATACACACCAAAAATTAGGAAGCCAGCCTCATCCCAAGCTCGTTCCCAGGGTGCTTTTTCCCTTCAAATGTACGAAGGGCCACATTTAAAGAAAAAAGCGCTTGAGCCTGATCCTAGACTGCTCTAACGTGTTGGTAGCCTGTCTCATTCACTTTCTTTCTCCATTCCTCCCGGCTCCATTCTCGTCATTCTTCATGTACAAAGCCACCAAGGACACCCTCCCGAAAGTGTGGTTTACACATCTAGGTAACTCCAAAATGCAAGTTCGTCACCCTAACAAACCGTGATAACTCAAGCATAAATAACCTCCAATTACAGACTCCTCTCGCCACTTTCCTTCTCGCGAAAGCCGAGCTCCTATTCGCAGGCTAACAGATAGAGTCCACTCTTAAACAAACAGATTTCGTGTTGCTGTGTGTCTGTTGAGTTATTGTTCACAGATGACGCCAAAATGCGGTAAGAACAAAGAAGTGACAGACGAGGCGATAGCCGAGTGTGTCACTGATCAGTTCTTACCACATTTTGACGTCTTCCGTGATCTATTATCTATTCGCGGTATCATAGAATCCTTTCTTTTACATAATAAAGAGAAAGGAACAACATTGTCAGTGTCGTCATCTATGCGTCGTCTTCCAATTGATCAAAAGAATCAATCGAAATACGAGAATAATTCGGCGTATTATATAAAGGCAGGTTTGTTGCCACAGGGGAGCCCACAGGGGACGAAGAGGACTAAGTAAGGTTTTCACAAGCGCAAAAGCAACATATGCAGACTCCGTAAGACGTTGCTAGGTAACACCTTTTAGACTCTTTTTGTTATGAATTTTCCAAACTAGAAGCGCAAACTACAAAACTCCAAAAGTCCACCTAGAGGTCAACCTAGAGGTCGCCAAGAGATCTTTTTATTTTACTGGTACGATGGAATTTAACAGTCTTCCTCGCCATATTAAATCAGAGGAATCCTTCATTGAATTCTCAAGGGACACTAAAGACTTTTTCCTTAAATAGATGGTAAGCTTTATGTGTAAATGCATACTTCTTTTATATATTTTTGGCCCTGTGACAATTTTCTTAGTGAATTTTTACCTTTTAGACCTTTTGTATCTTTACTTATGTACTTTAATAAGAAGGCCTCCTTTTGATGCCAGTGTTTATTACACTGACGGGGTTACCCTGTATAAATATTATTATTATTATTATTATTATTATTAGTATTATTATTATCATTATTATTAAATTATAATCGTCTTACTGCGTCCGCTTATGTCGGCATATTCTTCACAAACCTCTGAAGGTTGTTTTTCACGTGTTCTCCTGTGCTTACAGTTATCGCCCGTCCGTGTCGTTATCCCTCTGACAGCTTAAAGCGGTCAGTGTAACATGCAGCTTGTCGACTGGGGACCGGGGCTGAAATGCAGACTGCAGACGTTTTAAGTATTTATCGTACTTTTTATTTCCACTATCGAGTGCTGACCGTAAACAGGGTTATTCAGGGGAATCGTGGTAAAGTCTGCACTCCGGTTAGTCTGAACATATCTCAGGTTAGACAAAATAACCCTCCGGTTATCCTGTTTACGTTTGAAATGGTAACACGCTTCAGTTAAAAAGTCTAGCCTGCAATTTACCCCCGACCAGCCCGCAGTCTGCAGTCTACGTTTTATGCTGACCGCCCTGTAATGCCCTTACTTTATGCCGCGTGAACGAGTTACACTGTTTATTCACGCATGTTGTTCAAAAAACAAATGTTAAACTATATCTTCTCATAGTTAACAATGTGCAATTTCCAATTCCTAGCCTTTTCAGTCTTTTATCTATATAACTGCAAGATTAACCTCACGCGTAACTAAAAGTGGCGACACTCCAACAAAACCTTAGCGCGCATTTGTGTCTCAGAAAGAGTGACAAAAATATATAAGTTACCAGGCAGGAGGTAGGGCAAAAAGCGTAACTAACACTGAACGCTGGCAAGAAAACTAATATAACTTTTGAAAACGCGCGGTCACCCCTACTTTTTATCTTACAAAATGAAAGTGGTAGGCCTGTTGAACACATGGTTAATTTTTTGTCGTGCGCAAAAGTTATTTTTACAATAACTGTCTAATTTCTCGCGCGCTGATTAGCTCATTTTTATCATCAATAAGGGCACAGACGGATAAAATTTTAACTGATGCAAGCTTTCAAGTTCAACCTTCAGCTGTCAAACTGTCAACTTTTTAACTAATGAGATTTTATGGACTTTTTTCAGTAGCCAATCAAAAAGCGAAAGAAGCTATTGACAATGCGCCATTTTGAATAAACTTCACTTAAGGTCCGGTAATACGGGTAACATTTTTCTTCAAATTGTCGGGCAACTTTGTTGCTGTGCAAGTCGAAACCCTCTATTGCGCGTATTA